CTTATTTTATTAAGTCATTAAGTTTATGAAGTTATTAAGTTTATTGAATTATCAGTTTGTTAAGTTATTACGTGCTGCTTGTTAAATAAAGAACTGCTTAGACATGTAGGGGAAATTTTCTCAGGAGAGAAGCCAGAAAGGCACATACATGCAGGTCTCCTTCAGTGCTGGATCTTTCCTAAGGATTTCTGGTGGAGATGCTGATTTCCTTTTTCATGTTTAATGGTGTTTGTTTAGGTTTCTGGTGCTAGAAGCTACGACAGAAATTCTTCATACTGTTTGGACCACAGTAACTCATGGCAGAAGGCCCAATAAGGCATTAAATCACTGCCAGGACTCTCTTGGTTATCTAAAGAGTTGTGTAGCTTCATCTCATTGATGATGCAATGTCTAGGAAAGATTTTGCTAAATATTGCCAGAACAGGCAGTTTTATTTGTTTAATAGGAAGGGGACTGATGGGAGGGGTTTGGGAGGAGCTGAGCCAAGCTGTTAAGATTACAGTTTCTGGAAAGCTAGAGAAACAGAGAGGGTTCTTCTGTACTGCAGGTTTATCCTACAATGTTAGATCATTTCCAGCTTGCTGTCTACCCAGTTACTACTGCTAGCCTGACCTTTTGGGATTCTCTGTAGCAGAGAAGATAACTTCCTCAGGAAAGAAGAAATTAATTTTCAGATATACTTACACCAAGAGCAAAGTGATTTGTACCTGATACCAGGTAAAGAGAGAAATCCATGGTCAAACCAGTAGAAAATTGAGTCGTGGAGTTATATGCTGAAGTCCCTAAGAGGATGGATCTTTCAAATACAATTTGTAATACCTTACCTTATACCTTAAAGGTCTGCTGGCTTCCAGGATAGAAGTTCCTGGAGACAAAGTGTGCTGCAGACATACATGTTACCCTGTATACTACAGACTGCATGTCTCAAAGATCATGGTAGGAGAAGTTATACAGATAGGGTAGGATGAGGGATTTGGTTGCATGCACTGAGTAGTATCTACCCACAGATCTGCTTTTGCTGCAGGTGCCTAGAGAGCTCTCTGTCCAGGGACCATAAGATGGATGCACTTGAGCTTCTGTTTGGGATGAGGAAGCCTGTCAGAGGTACAATGCTCTATAGCCACAATAACCTTTTACTTTTCAGGTAAGCAAGTGAGCTATTTCTGGCAGAAAATAAGAGGATCTTGAAAGTCCCAAAGAGATACTATATCCAGTGCATTTTTTTAGTGGTGGTGGGTTGCTTGTTGGGAGCAGCTTTGGCAAAGGAAATGAAACATATTGCCCTGTATTGTAATTATATCATGGGCTCACTGTGACATTGTAGACAAAATAGACTACTCTTACCTGGGAAAGCAAAAAGAATTGTTTAATTGCCTTTGCTGAGAATAAGATCAGAGTTACCTTGCATAAATCACTGCTCTGGGCTGCCAGTTTCATGTGATATACAACCTGCGATTCCTTCATGAACTTGGCCACATCTGTGAGGTAGAGATACCTGTTGGCTGTGGGGAGAGCTGTGGTTGCTACTGCCTCTTCAGTGCTCACTGCAGGTTTTCCAGTGGGACACACTTCAGAGTGATGAGCAAAACATAGGGAAGGGAGAGTAATCCAAGTCAGAGGAGTAACTGGCATGTCCTGTTCTCTGTCATGGACCAAAGCAGGTGGGGACCAGGCAGTGTCCAACTTCTGTGAAGGCAAATGATCTGCCTCTAAATGAGCTTGGTTTGCAAGGTACCACTCAATTCTCATAGAAATATCTGCATTTAAGTGGAGCAGCATGAACACCGTGGTTCATGCTTCAGGTATTACCTGAAGCCTAGCTAGCAGCGGTTTAGTGATGAAAGTAACATAGATTAAATAAGATCACATTTGTAATATTTCATTTAAATATATTTAAAAGAAATCAAGCATCAATATGGTTTGTTGTCTTGTTTTGCTTTTAAATGGAATTGGCAAGTCACATCTGTGTTTTTTAGGTGCCATGACTTTGCTATCAGACAGCGGCGTTTGTCATCACAGTAAATGTCTTGGGTAGGGGAGTAAATCTGCAGCAAAACTTAAGTGGCATATTTCTGTTTACAGTTGGAGGCTGCTATGGATTTTTATGAACCACCTCAGGAGAAGCAGCAGCAGCTTCTTTGGGAGGGTATTTGCTCTGATATTAAGGGGATGGCAAGTTGAGGAGAACAATGAGCTCATATTTGGCTAGGATTTACCAGGCTCTATTACATGCTGCATGATGTATATTAAATAGGCTCAACTTGCTGATATAATTTCGTCCCTCCAGTAATAGAAAGGAGCCCATTTAATGCCTGTATTTATGGTCATTGCTCTATACTCCTACATCATGTGGAAGAAAAGCAGACCTAATACTACACGTGTATATTAAAGATGTAATTTAAATTCTTCCACTGGTTGTGGTGGAAGAGGCTTTTGGTGAAGCTGCTGTGGCTTCTTTTTGCTGCTTTTCATTCTTGCACACGACTAAGGCATTTACAGGTATTCTGGGTTAATTACAGCCAAAGCAGTACTGTTTCCTGGTAGGCTTATAAAGCCTGTGAAGGCTCTGCTGAGAATATCCCTGCAAAGCAAGGACTGTTTCTGTACAGCAGAAACTGAAATCCTGCTTCAGCATTTTTTTGCCCAGTCCTAACAGTAAAACAAGGCCTTGAGAATATTAAAGCTCTCTGTTGTGAAACATCTGAAGTTGGGCGGTGTGCTTCTCTGGGAGGTGATAGACTCTGAGGCCCTTTAAATGCCACTGCATTGCCATTTTATTTATTATTCATTCGGTGAATATATCAAATAGCTACAGGCATCCATCTGTCATTTTGAGACCTGTCCCATCAATTTGAACACGCAGCTGCACAAAGGGACAGCCTCTCAATGTACTCACCTCTGGCCCCAGCCTCCCCAGCAGCCTGGAAAATAAAAATAAAGGCTGATGTATGAGTTACACACACAAGCAGCAATTTTGGTTCTTTCCTCTGGGTCTCATGATAATAATAATAATAACCCTCTCTTTTCTCTAAGGGAGGTAAGAAGCAACTGACAAGTGTTTCCTAGGGCATTCAGTGAAAAGAAGCTTCTGATGAATCCATATATGCTTTATAACCTTTGAACACAGAGTGCTTTGCTACCTTTACCCTGGGCCCTGGGTCTGTGGCACCCAAAGGTGGCTAGCTTGGGCACAAGACCTGGCCTCAAGGCTGGTTGCTGGCTCCGGCAGTTTCATGGCTGATGTCAGATGATGAGTTCAGTTTTCAAGTCTGGAAAGCACTGAAGTGGCCAGACTTCTACAGTGTTATTCAAAAGCCACATCTTTTTCTTGTTTTTCAAATTAGTGAAAACCACCTTCACTGGTCTCTGTCCTAGACAGTTGTTTAGTTAAACCAGGAGACTTCAATCCATTTGCATTTCTTCCTCATGTTGTTTTATCATAATAATGCTTTTAACTGAGGCTCTTAAGATTTTTTTTTTGCATTTGAAATAAGCAGAGTTCAGGAGAGAAGCCTTTAGTATCACATCTGTGCGATCTGTTAAGGATGTATTTTTGCTTAGGGCTGAAGATACAAAGTTAAAGGTACAGTCCTTTCAATCCATCTCTCTCCCTCCCTCCTGTTCACGTGTGGTGCAAGTGCAGATGAAAGAACTTCACTGAAATCTGCCAACGGTTTAAGTCTTCCTTCAAGTACTAAAATAATTCATGCAGAATTCAGTCTTGTTGAGCTCATTCTAGGGCACTGGGGAAATGCATGAGCTGCAGACAAGGGTACAGTTTAATGTGTTTTTTAAGTGCATATTCACAGTTAAAATTGACTTTGTGATTCTCCTTGCCTTTCCAATCTTTGCCTAAAGAAATAGGTTTGCAAATACATACACGCTAACCAATATCTCTGTTTAAATCTGAAAACCTATTTGAGGGAGAATTTTTTCCAGTTGCTTGGTCCTGTTACCCGGAATCACATCTCTTATGGAGTACCCTATTATTTATGACAACAAGCATGATGATGATCAGCATAAAACCGTAGAACCAATGCAAATGCCTCTTACCAAATGTATGCTGTATGTATCCTGAGGCATTAAAGAAGTCAAGTGCATCAAGGAGTAGCTACTATGCAGACATCTGGTAAAAGCACAGATTGATTCTCAATGTCCCCCAGCAATGAAGTAGTGCTGTAGATAAAGAAATAACCACTATTGTGAAAACATCTGCTAATTTTTATGTTCACTGGGGAATTTACACTGCAAAAATAAAGTTACTCCCTCATTTGCAGTTACCTGGATTGCTTTTTAATTAGGGCTGGATGGTGCAAGTTGGATAATAGCAAAATTGTTTCAAGTTGACACAGCTGTAAAAACTGTTCAGGTAATTTTATCTATTTTGAGAAGCAATGTGGAATATTTTCCTGATGGCAGCCCACAGAGGGTCTGTATCTCCCCTTCCCCATGCAGCTCTGCTTTGCCTGGTGAACAGAGATCTCTAGTGTGACAGGGTGAGATTGTATTGGTAGGAGCAAAGTCCCCAGCTCTCCCGTTGTTCTCATCTTTGGAAGATGAGGGGGATTTGGCAATACATGAATGATACAGGATACAGAAATTTTCCAGAGAAACGGCTCTGCATTGGTTGGAGCCTTGGCCTCAAGAAACAGGGTGCCCTTGAGGAGTGCTCCTCTATGCTCTTAGCTCCCTTTCCCAAAATTCATCATTCTTCCTTGGGCAGCTCCTCTGTAAACTCTGCATTGTAGGTTCCTCCTTCACTAAGAAGCAAAAGCCAAATTACGCTGCTTCTCTTTGGTATGAAATATAAATGTAGAACAACTCAGTCCTGAGCGTGTCTTCACTGGGGGGTTTATGCACCTTGGGCTCCTAGGGCCTGTGTGTACCCCAGGTGCTTATTTGCACCGTGGGGCTCATCATCTGAACCTGGGGTTGATGTTCACCTGGGGCTCATTGTACCTGATGAGGAACTGAGTTGGTTCAGCTGCTGAGGAGCTGGCTCTGCCATTTCTGCTTTGTTCTCAATGCTGAAGGAGTGCAGAACTCATTGTTTCATGTGGTAGCTTTGTGGGCTGACTTCACATGAAAGTGTTTCCTGCTCTGTCTTGGAGGCTGTGTTGTGTTTTCCAGAGGGCAGAAGCGTGGTAAAGCATCTGGAAGGAGCAGGAAAGTTAAGGTTTGTGCTGCTGGATGTGGGGCTTTCAATGAATAACAATGTTTGCAAAAGATGTGAGGTTTTCAGTGGGGAGCTGCTTTTTTGTTTCAAATGGAAGTCAGCTTTCAGCTAATATAGATTTATGCACTTTGTGATACAAAATCCTGCTTTCTGCTCTGTGCTATTTTTCCTCAATGCCACAGGAGGCTTTATTTTTCCCTGACAGCTAGCTAAAGGGCACGTTTATTTGACAACTCCTTCATCAGTGAAAAAGTAGAAAAGACATTAATCTAAGGCTATATGCAGCACAGTAGTACCAAGGAGCAAAACTGAGTACTTGAGGAAATAGTAGCAAAAGCTTCTTTCAGTGCTGTGGGGTACTAGGAAGTCAAACTTCTGTAAGTTAGTTCTAATGTATGATCTGTGTATGGAGAGAACTGCTTTTCAGGAATAAATGTCATGTAAGTGGTAGGAGATCAAGGGGTGGGTAGAAGGAGGATGGAGGAACTCTGGAGGTGAAATAAGTGTGAGAAGTTAGTGCTGTTCTTGAATCACACAAGGTTAGCTCTAACTGCTGGCAGTAGCAGCACTGTAAGCACTGTCCCCAGGATGCAGTCTAATTAGCTCAGCCCTGATTTTTAAATGACTTCTATTGTAGCATTATTTAGAGGTCTGGGTCAGGGTATTATGCACACGAGATTCAAAGGCAGTTCTTGCACTGAAGATCTTCACAGGGAAGGGAAACTACATTGGTATTTCTCATCTGATTTGTTATTGGCCCTGAGGGACTTCTTACAGTATTGGTGGGACAAGGTATGGTAGGATGTGTGCCTTGAAGGGGCAGCAGTCCTCAAGCAAGCAAGATACATATGTACTTGCTGTAGTTAACAGATGAACAGCCCCTGGAAGTCAATAAGACTGTATGTCTAAGTGTAGGCATGTGGCTTATGATACTACAAGATGGGAAAATAAGCAATGAGAAGCGAGAGAGCAGAGGATTCTGAATTTCTTGTGTACACTAGCTCAAGGCACAGCCCTAAGTGCCAGGAATGAAATCCTGGCTCCTCTGAGGGTTTTGTAGTTCTGTTACTGACTTCAGTTGAGTCAAGGTTTCCCAAGTCTTTGTTTCCTTTTTATAGCCTTTTATTATGATACTGAGTAGCTGAGAAGGTTTGGGCTTCTGCAGATAAATCCTTTTCAGGCATTGACTTTTTCTTGACAGTTTTAAATGTCAATCTGTTCTTAGCTAGCGGATTAGTGAGGCTTATTACAGGCTACGTTAACTTAGTCTGTATACGTAGATCTGCATTTATAAGTAGGATGGAATCATGTGTTAACAGTTTTACATAATGGCAGGTAAAACACTCGTCACTGCCAGCTGTTGATGAGAGGAGTCTCAAAATTTGTCTGCAAATTCTTTCTTGGGCAGGCAGAGCTCTCTTTCTTTGCCAGGTGATTGAGAGAGACCCCTCCATTTGGACAAAGGAAGGAAAATTACCTAGGTACATTTACCTAAGAATTCCCACTGGCTGTGTTGTCGTGTTGACAAGTCCCACCTAAGATGAGACAAATCTGATTTCCATTAAAATGTAGTATCTGAGATCTTACTGATTCTTGTCTGCATCCAAGGTTGACATTACTTACAGGAAATCTGCTTTAGCATTTTAAAAATCCCCATGACACAACCCAATCCCCAGATTTTTAATTACATGGGATGCTAGAAATGGACCTTGAGAACAAGAAATCTGTGCTACTTGTGGGGGAAAAATGAGGCAAAGCAATAAATCCTTCAGTGACATGTTTCTTAAAAAATGGATTCTTTTGTCAGGTTTATTTTTACACCAGGAAGAAACTGTGCCTTTTACAGATGATGAGCTTGTACTGTTCTTTGTAAGGCAGTATTTCTGGTATTCACAAGAAAGTAGACTAAACAGAAAATGTGAGTTAGTAGTTTCTGCAAGTTAAAGTGGAACAATCCTTTTTAATGCTTAATTAGATTAAATGGAATCTTTACAATATGAAATGCTTATTTGCAATATGCATGGGGTGGCAAGTATCATATTTCTAGTTTTGCATTGTGTAGTTGTTTTATCAGAAAACTTGGGTATAAGTACAGATATATTAATTTTGGAAAATAAAAAGACTATCAGGCAGGTAAACTGGGGCCTCCCTTGTTTGCATGTTATAGGGAAGAGTAAAGGTTCTCATTGTTAGGGGAGTGCAATGAAAAGCTATGCTGATGGAGGAGCCAGAGAAGAATCCAGATTTTGCTCCTGTGACTTTGAGATAACAGGAGTGACACAGAAATGTTTGTTTAACTTTGAATGCATGAAAGAGAAGAAATTTGAGTAATGCAGCACATGGAGTTTTTTTTTTTTTGGTTGGTTTGGTTTTGTGTTGTTTTCCATAGTCACATTGACAGTGACGTTCTTCCTGCAGATCGGCAATTGAAGGCAAAGTATACATACTCGGAGGTCTGTTTTGTATGGGTAGGAAGCTGAAATCTGCACCACTTTGTGTGTGGCAGCCCAAAGGCCTGAGTCATTTTGGTGTAACACTGAACAGCTTATTCCAATAAGGCACATTATTACATTTTAAAGTTACTCCCTCTGCTCCACTTGAGATCTCAGCATTGTTTTTTTCCGCTGCTCTAGGGATTTGTGTTAGAGTTTTAAGGAAACAATTCACACAGTGACTTTAAAGAAGAAATCCAATAATGGTTGTTTTGTTTGTTTAGACCCTGCACTGCGCCTTGCAGTAGCTGTTAACAGAGTGAAGTTATTGAAGCCAGTATCTTGTTTTCTTTATAGCCTCATGTAGAAGTGTGCTACTTGTGGGTGAGTGAGGGGGTGGTGTTTTTAATAAAAGGCTTGGATTATTTCTGTCACTTTGGCTTCACATTAGGGTCACATCTCTGTGTTAAACACCTGTGGCTTACCCTTACAAGATAAAAGGATGTAATGGAGATAAAAATTGGCATGTTTTAAGTACTGTAGGATCAAGTGTTTCTGTGGCCTCTGTGTTGGTAGCAAGGGAAAGCAGAGCCAGGTGCCCTCACAGAGGCAGTGGGTGACACTGGTTCCCTGGGCTCTGCACAGGACTTCTGTGTCTTGTACTTGTCTTGTGAAGGACAGGTAGCAGAGAAAGCCAGCACAGGCTGTGCTCAGGTAGTAAAGCAGGCATACCCAGCCTCTCCTTGAGGGAAGCCCTGTGGCTCTGTTAATGTGGTGTGCCAGGTATGTAACTCTACAGGTCAGAGAGGCAGGAGAAGCAATCTCAGATGCAGCAGTGCTTACCAGGAGTTTGACTGTTCAGATGTGCTCTTTCAAATATGATCATTGGCACAAAGCAGTGCACAGGTTTGGAGTTCAGTGGTGCTGCCTTGCTCCTTCTTAAATGAGGTTTCCAATGTGGGTTACTTTTGGAGTCAGCGGTGTGCTAATGAAAGTATCTGGTTGTGGGTTCAGTCGCTATTGCTTTCACCAATATGGACAATGACACCCTCCATTCGTACTGCGATTGAATTGATCTGACCTTATTGTGCTTAGTTTATCTGATTGTATGCAGTTTATGTTTTTTTTTTTATGACAGTTACTTCCCTTTCCAAAGAAACAGCACTACTGTACTGCTAATGATGCATCCCTGTGTCTGCATGGTTCTAGTGGAGCAGCATGTTAAATGGAAGCCTTTAGAAAACACATTTTTATAGCCTTCTAAACTTTGTATTCACCACCTAACAGTATACAAATGAACCTGAGGTTGTGTGATGCAATGTCATGAGATGCACCACACCACATATATAGTCTTTGAAGTGAGTAGATGAGCTGGAGAAACAGCAGCTGAATTTAAGCTGCCAAATCAGTTTAGTGGGGGGAGACTGTGAAGCATTTTTCATAGACTGAAATGAATTGCTATAGGTAGTGATGCCCATGACCTTTAGATATTTTTGACAGTAAAGCATAACCTGTTCTCATGAGAAGAAAATTCACATCACAAAAGGACACTACTTACACTATTCAATCCTTTGATGCGGATAAGTCTTTTTATTTGGAAAAGTTGGTATGATTTCATCACAAGGATGCCCTCTGCTTTAATTCAATCTCCCTGACCTAAGTTCAAACCCATCACATATTGTAGCAACTGCAAATAATTCCTTTGTAAAGATTGTCAGAAGTGAAATGAGGTTAAGTCAAAACCCCACGGCTCTGCAGAATACATGACTAGCGCATATGAAGGGGTGATTGGCAATTGCTGGCCGGAAGTGTCAGATTTAAATTGTCCTTGGAAGAATTGTCATCCTCAATGAAAGGTTCAGCTCAATGACAAGGAAATCGGAGAAGAGCCTGTAAGAGCTGATCTCAACTTGAAAATGCTCAACAAGAGCGTAGAAGCTCGAGCAGATGATTTAAGAAATAGAGGAAATGTAACTTTGTCCCCACAGGAATGTTAACATCTAATTCTACAGCTACTTCCACGCTGGTTTTTATCTTCTGACTTAGCCTTACTACCTCAAATTTTAAAAATGTGCAGAGGCTGGGCATGTAGGTTCCAAGTAGGATTTTCAAGGCACAGGAAAGGACAAGCTAGCTTGGAGGTATTCATGTAATACCTGTGTAAGCTTTACTCATTAAAAGAAAGGGTAAACTGAGGGGCAGAAAATACTCAAGTGGCTTTATGTCTTTCTTTCTCTCTGTTTTTGAATAATAATGCAGAGCATCCAGAGAAAAAACAGAAAATTCTGTACCATATTTTTCCTGCCTATGTGTAGAATAATTAGAAATGTCTCTTTGTGCAGCATATCCAGCTACCTTTATGAGCTTCTCTGCAATGTACCTTTCAAAGTTAAGTTTAACTTGGCACCTCTCTCAGTGACCATTAAATCAGTTTGTTAAAGGGTCCGGAAACCTTTGATACTGATATTGTGTTGCTGCAGTTACTGCCCATGGTCCTGCGGCCATGCTAAAATTAAAAGGCCTGCATACTTTGCTTTTAAGTTGATCCCTTAGAGGCTAAATCAGTTT